CATTCCATTGTGGTCACTTCAGTCTAAAAGTTCTTGCTCTTCTTCCTGTATGATAATTTGGTTCTCTGTCATATTAGCAATACTTTAAATGCTTGTGTCAACAGCAAACTAAAACTTAGGGGGTTTTTAACCAAGGTAGAAAATAGAAATTCTAAACAAAGTAGACCCTTGAGGAACACCACTAGTAATGTTTTCTCCAGCCCAATAGTTTGCCATGAGATGTGATACTCATATGTTACCATTAACCAAAAAATGTCATTGAAGAAAGATAAGCCAGTATAACATGATTTACATTTGGAGAGATCTGGGTTGCGTTTTCCTTCTGCTTCCTATTTATGTTCCAGTCATTGGTTACTCTTGGTTGCTCCTTCCCCTTAGAACAATTGTTACAAGATACTGAAGAGCGCCAAGTTCATGTTAACAGGGCTTTTTTGAACACAGGTTCCACATCTCTTCTCCAGCCCTAGGCTGCTATCCCAGAAAAAGTCTTATTCATTGAGAATCTTTGTGCCTGAGCTTGCAATTTTGATAGATAACCCATTTTTTCAGTGTTCTGGGATGGAAATTTTTTAAGCAGCCTCATTTCATTTTAGTAATGGATGTGGTAATTTTCAGTGCTTTGTCCTTGTTCCCATGAGGTATTCTGTCTCTGTCCTCATACACAGCATTATTCTTACAGGAAAAAATGATGCAAAAAACTAATTTAATATTTGGTCTGTCCTCCTAATTTCTACGCCTTGTTGACACCAGTTCTTCATTTCTTGCTTTTTATTTCTTGTTGAGAAACCTTTTGTTTGACTGTGAGTTCCCATTTTCCTGGCCTACTGGCAGTTTTCATTTAAGTTCTGTGGCGTGACCTCTAAGTGCCAGCTCTCTCTGCTGATCAGTCCCTTTTTCCATTCCTTGTAGGTTCTCTGCTTTCTCTTAATATCCTGCTTTGAGGTGCATTCTCATGCAGGTAGGTCTGTAGCCCTTTCCTGTCCCCTTCTTTCCTTTACTTGGATGGAAAGACTCAGATAGCATTTGATTTAAAGTAAATCCATGCCTTCCATACACTCAAATCCAATTGTGTATGTGTTTCATATATGTTTGGATGAAATTTTGGGTTATGGCCCAACAGGGAAAGGTGGGATTGCTCTTGAAACGTAAAGAAAACTGTTAGTTATTTTCGAGTTATGCAGCTGGTGAGGCCTGTACCCCCAGAAGGTTAAGGAAGTTTGAATTGCCTTTGGCAATTATTATATGTTGCATAGGCTGCTTACTTCCAGATGTTTTTTCTTCCTTCATGTAAAGCCATGGGAATTAAAGACTGGCATTTAAACCATCTGAATCAGAAATAGATTTTTTTTCTTTTTCCTGATGCTAGGTATGTTTATACAAATACAATCTGTTAGAAGGTCAATAATTTTGGAAATTTCCTGAAATCTTTCAAGGTTTCACTTTCTTTCTTTCTTTCTCTTTTTTTTTTTTTAAAGGTATGCTGATGTTTCTTTTCTCTTTGTGTTGAGAGAGAAATGTATTTGGCAGTTTTCCTTTTGAACACCCAAATGCATGTCATGACAGTTCACTTGACCCTCTCTCCAAGGGGTTGGGAAAGCTATTACCATGAATGCAAAGGCTGCTTTTTGGAGCCACAGTAATCACTTCTGAATCTTTATCAGGGATGAAAAAGATGAATTAATTAGTCAAGTGCTTGCAGTTTTAGAATACAGGGAAGTATTTATGTGTATGTCTCTTGTCACTGAAACCACCTTTAGGAGGTTGTAGGCAGGACTCTGTGTATAAGCCTGCACTTAAGTTTCTGTGAAGTAAGGTAGTGTGCGGATTTACAGTCTGTCAGCCACTTCGTGTGTACAATGCCATGAACACATTTGTACCATATGGCCAAGCTACAGAATTGCCCAGCTATATGTGAAGGCAGTAATCTGTGCAGATGGACATGACTGAAACACTTGGGTCCAAAGAACTAGCAACAGGAACTTCACGTCTGGACTCAGGTCTTTCTGATTAACAAAGCTACTGAGGTTTTTTTTCTGGCTTCTGATATCAAAATGGGGTTCAGTGCTCTGCCATGTTGATTTTGATAGTGTTGATCCTAGAACTAATATAAATTTTAAATTATTCATTTATGAATTTCATTTAAACGTAATTGGAACTCCTCAGTGTGGTTTAATAGTGATGTATAATGCTTGTCTCTCTGTTACCCTCAGGGGCGGGGGTGGGAATCTGAATAGAAGTCCCTTCTTTGTCAGTTCTTTTTATTTGGGAATAGCTATTTTCTTTACTGGGTCTGCCTGAAATTTCCAAAGTCGACCTCTCATATGTATCTTAGTGCTTGATGAGGTGATAGCAAAAGAGAGATTTGTAAGTCTTTCACTGTTTGTTAGCCAAGGCATCCTTCAGTATTTATGTTTTTAAAGCATGGATAATAGTATATAGTAACTAAAAGCTTGAAAAACTTATTAATGGATTGTTTATATTTTGTGTTATTCCTCTTTATTGTTTTCCTTTGCTTTAACAAGATTGAAACCAATTTAGTTTCATTAGTAAATGTCTGAGCATGTTCTTCAAAATGAGCTTTCAACACTATAGTGGGGAATCTGGGGGTTATATTTTTAATCTGATGGCACTTGAAGTTGTTTGGTTTACTTTTTAACTTTATCATGGGTCGATGGGTGTTTCTGTAACATATGGCACTGTATGTTGAAAGTGGATGTTTACATCTGGTATGCATTGGAAGAGTAAGGTAGAGAGGATGAAGTTTTGGGCAAGTATGTGTTTCTTGGATGAAGGATAAAATGAGAATACTTTTATTTCCTCTTAGATTTGAAACATATCATTCTAGCAATGCCTTTGAAACTCTGCCAGCTTTGCCAACCGTAACATTTATGGGATTTTGGACCTAAACTGAATTAGAAAACTGTTTTTAGTGGCAGAGAAAAAGGTTAGTGCATGAAAATAGCTAGGCCTATTATTGACTGCATGTGGTCAGTGGTTTGGCTGAATGTAGGTGGCTCTTTTCCTGTCAGTGTTTTCAAGCATATGGCTTTGTTTGTGATGAATATAAAACTCTTTAAAAATGAGTTCTAATGCAGTTCTTTTGCACAGTAGTCTTTTGCTATTTGGTAGTGATTATTTTGCTTTTGCCATTCATTTTCAATCTCGCAGTAAAAAAAACCCAAAGACTTTTAAAATAAAGCTTAGGATTCCTGTTGACATCAAAACTAAGAGATTTGAAGAATGTGGTCATCTGTGTATAGCAGCTACTTCTGTCAGTAATATTTTATAAAAGGATGCATGTACTATGTTTTTGATTCTTTATTGTAGTTAATGCTGGGATTGTTTGTAGTGAGCAGAAACTCCTTTTATATGTGCACACATTTTGTTTAATTAGTACTTTTGTGAAAATCTCTTATACTGAATTATAACTTCCCTTTATTTCATGTTTTCAGTCTTGAAAGTAACATTTATAGCAGTTTTTCCCAAGGTCAACTTCAGATTTGGCATTTTTTTTCCCCGTTGTGTAGAAGACAGCTTGAAATTAACCTAGTGTTTTGTTTTCTTCTTTGGGTGTAGTATACAAGGTGCTACCTCAGAGCTCAGGGAATAGCAAATTTTCTAGCTCGTGCCGCAGAGAGAGCGCTTAAGGGCACAACAGCTTCTGTTTAGCTTTAACTTAAAGAGTGTTACCCTATTTATATCTTTTTAAAAAATATGGGTGATAGAGATGTAAATTGTGCGGATTGTGAATTGTGTAGATTGTCTGGTGTTTTCTGCGCAGAAAATTCTAGTGAACCTTGTTTTAGCAGTTATCAGATGCAAGAGCTGGTTTCATTCAGCTGAGAGCAAAGTACATTTGGCTCTGCAAGCTGCTCAGAACTGCAGTAAGAATTAAGGGGCATCAAGCACTTCATGAGTTGGTTCCATTGCTGTAAAGTATTTAAAAACAAAGCAAAACTGTTTACAGTTTCCCCATGTTTGGGGAAAAGAATTTATAGAGTTATCCAATTTTTAGAGCAACTGTAAAAAAATAAGTAAATAAATGATGAGATAACTTGTAGAGCTGCTTAATAAATTTCTCAGTCAGTCCCTGAAGAAGTGCATCCTGGTCCCACAGACCAGACACAAGGAAAATCACTGTTGTACAAGGGAGGCTACTTGTGTGATCACATCTTGCAGACTTTTAAGAACTTCATTTGTTACCTACATAAAAAAATTATACAATACTATTTAAAACACAACATGTACTTTTAAAATTCTTAGTGTTAAAAAAGAATTTCTAGAAGCTGTAACTAATTATTACAACTATAGGTTAGCGCTTACTGTAATATCTTCCTACAATGTAACATAGCAATATAATTTACAGGTTATTAAGAAATTTCTTTTCTAATTTAAACTAGGTCTTTTGAATTGTATTATGAAGACAGAGCTGTTGTTCCTAAGCATGCTTGGTGAAAGACTGTCACTAAGCAAGAAGTGTTATGCATGCATTTGTAAGTCTCATTGCAAGAGAATCTTAAGTAAGGTGGATATAAGCATTGCATCCTCAATTATTTTTTTCTTTAAATTAATTTGAATTTGCATGAATTTGGGGTCATGCAAAACACCCTCAATAACAGTAAGCTATGTGATGTGTTTTGTTTGGGGTTTGTTGTTTGTTTTTTGTTTTTTTTTTTTTCCTAGTTCTGATGTAGGACCAGGAAACTGCTTGATATTTTTGACAGTAGTAATTGTCACAATTCAGGAATTCTCTATCTTGAGAGATCTCGTGTTTAAACATACTGCCTAACTGATAACTGTTCCTCATCAAAAAGATTTGAAATAAGATGATGATGGGGATTATTTGTATCAGTTCTCAACACGGATTGACAGAACAGTTTCTTAAGAGAAAAACAGCACAGCTAACTGACCTTTGTTTTTGATTTATGTGAGATTTTTCTGGTCTTGTTTGTGAAAATAGTTATATTAATAATTCTCAATTCCTCCTGTTTGGATTGTAGAGGTTGGAGACCTGAGGGAGCTACAAACACTGGACATTTCAACCAATCGTTTGATAACGTTACCTGAAAGGCTGCATATGTGCCTTTCACTGCAGTACTTGACCGCAGACCGAAACCACCTGTGGTATGTTCCCCGCCACCTGTGCCAACTACCAAGCCTCAATGAGCTCTCCATGGCTGGAAACCGCCTTGCATTTTTGCCACTTGGTGAGTCACCACTGTCATTGGGCAGGGGATAGGTCAGAGAAGAGACAGGAAAACAAACCTTCTGTCCCAAAAGGAAACAAACAAACAAACAAAACACAAACAAACAAACATAATAATAATAAAACCAACCAAAACTAGAAACCCTCAACAAGTGATTTTCTTTGGTGGTCTCTACAAACTCTGTTTATGGAGTTGTCACAGTGATCATATTGTTGGAAAATATGTTGATAAAAAAAAAAAAAAGGCAGGTTGAGGTTTCATGTCTGTTTTAAAGCATAGGTCAGCTATCAAATTTGCTTTATTTTTAGCCAACTGAAGGGGAAAAAAGTTTAAATGATGTTGTGTTTAAATACGGTACTATGTAATCTGACTTCTGCCACTTTGGGTAATGATCTGTTTCTGTTTGCTGGATCTGATGATTTAACTAAGATTCTTCAGCTAGTGTCTAAAACTTGCTGTGGAATCCCAGTGACTCCACATAAATTATTTTTCATGATTAGGAATGTCAGTACTGCAAAATCTATCAAAGGTTTAGTTTGTGCTGTGTATAGGCATCCATCAAAACTTCCACAGTAGTAGCCCAGGAAAGAATTTATCTGCCGCCTTCTCAACCCTTTCAAAGTTTGGAAGTGTTGAACCAGGCCTTCAGGAGTAGGAGGTGCAGTCAGCATGTGGTGGTTTGTTGTGGGAAGTAGTTGTGTTGTCAGTAAGTGTGGACTATGTATTCTGGTCGTGAAAAGCAAGTCCTCTTCCCTGTGTTTGTTACTTCTTAGCCCTGCCAGGGGCTAATCTCTGCTGAAATACAGACACACATGCAGGATCTGTCATGTCATTTGAATAGCCATTAATAGTTTTTCTAGAATACAGAGTTCAGTGTTAATTAGGTGCAGATGAAGTTATGATAATCACATTGAAAAGAAGCTGAAAATTGAGGTGGCTAAAAATGAGATTATAATTTCTAAATTAATTACATTGTATGCCTTTAACTTAATTTTTTCAGTGCTAGCAATTTAGTCTTTAAAGGAGTTTATGATCTTTCTGATTTTCTTAGCACCTTAGTTTATTTTACTGGAAAGTAAGTGCAAATAATGTGTCCAGACATAGTGTTTTAGTTATGTTCCAACATATGTCATTATATAAATGAGAAAATGAGTTCCAGGATGCATCATCCAGATTCCACAGTACTAACTAAAACAAGCAAAATAACTTCCCCTATTTTGGCAAATATTTCTATCTAACTCCATTTCATGAGACAGGAAGTTGAATCTTTTTAATTTTTTTGTAAGATGAGGTGTGAAATATTAAAGGATAACAGTTTTTGCTACTTTTGCGCTAGTAGCTTATCTGTGAGCAAGCTATGACCTGGATGAGCCGTAGATCTGCAGAAGTGTTTTAAGTTCAAAAGAAGGGAATAAATCTCTAATATAATGACACACCTTCTTTTTTCTTTATTTTTAGACTTAAATTCAAAACATTCAAAAGGAACTTTTAAAATAACGGGAAACATCAAAGACTGTCAATTGACCTTGTTCAGTAGTTCTTAATAGTGACTCACTGGTGAACATTTGGAGATAATTTGCTATCTGTGGATATGAAACTGAATCATAAATCCTAGAGTTCAGAGGAAAAGCAGCACAGTATAAATGTAAATGTTTAATCCTTCCTCAGAAGAATCAGAGGGCTTCAGAGTGGTCAAGATGTGATGAAATAAAGTAGAAGATAGAGTTAGTGCATTGAAAAAGAGAAAGATTAAATTTACCATCTGTTGTATGGGAAAATATTTTTCTTGGAGTTTTACTGAAGTTAAGGCATAATTGTAGCATTATTTCTGCTAGCTGCACATGTTGGCTAATGGTTGTTTTGTGTGTATTCTTACATCCAACTTCACTTTACTAGTTAATGACTGAGTAAGGACATTAAATAACAGCGAAAGATACTGTAGAAATATCTACAAGTGATATTCAAGCAAGAATTGTCAAACGATTTTTTTCAGTTAGGGAGCTGAGTTGAAAAGCAGACAATTTATTCATCTCCTGACAGAATGTGGGGTTTTTCTCTTTTTTATTAGACATGTCCATGTTAGAAGAAATATGTTTGGAACATATTGCTTAATGCTTTTTAATGTGTGATTTACTTCATTTATTCCATATGGTGGTTGACATGTACTATGCCAAGGAATCCATTCTTCCTCATCTAAGTATGTCCCTTGTAGCTGCCAGTAGAGCCTTTTGTTAAGTGTTACAGAAATCTGCATTTTCCTGTTCCTAGATTGATAGGTGTAAGGTTTATTTCAGCAGCACACAATACTTTCACAGCACTGCTGGAAGGGTACTACGTAGTTTTTTGTCCTGTGCATTCTTTTAAGTTTGTGGGCACATGTGTCATAAGAAAAAAGTGTAACACTATTAACCAGTTTTACAAAATACAATAAAAATACCTGATCCCACTTTGTGACTTTCAGAACTGGTATGTAAAGAAGCAGATGGGTAAACAATAATGAATTAGTCATTTGTTCTGCTTAATTCTTGGATATGCCAGTATTTTCCAGCTGTTGAATATCCAAAGAAACAAGACTGCATGGATCCAAGCCTTTGGGCCTTCCTAATAAATTTATTTTTTAAAAAAGCCCAAATTGTATGTGTAACTTGAACTGGAAACTGCATCCTGGACAGTCCTGTTATTGTTAGAGTAGCTTTCATGCTGCCCTAATAAATGGTTAGGAATTCTGTTCTTGAATGGTAGGATGGAACTACTGATCATTTTATGTCAATCTGCTTACAATATGAATTATCCTTTGACAGAAATTTAGCTTTAAAATTTTACCATTAACAAATGCTCTAATGCCTGAAAACAAATTCCAGTGCAAGCAGAAATTTGAATCTGATGATATTGCAAAAGTAAAAATGATTTATGTAATAAAGTACAAATATAATTAAATAGGCCATAAATTCTCAAGTGTACTGGCAGTACAGGGGATGTTATGACAGCAAATATTCAGTGTTATATCACTTTATTGAGGGTTTATGTGCACTTTTTGTTTAGAAAATGGGTCTAGTAATTATCACTGCACAGTAAACAAAGGCCTTATTCTACCTCGGTATATGCTGCTTTTGTGTCCTTGCCCTCACAGTATGGTTAAAAGAGCATCAGTGCAGACACACAAGTGCTTTTGTTCCATCTTCAGCCATGTGGAATGCATATGCCAGGGCCCTGAGGTTAAGAAAAAAAAAGGAGAAAAAAAGAAAAAAAATTTGGGGAAAAAAAGGGGAAAAAAAGGAAAAATAGAATTGGGGTTTGTTCAGGACTCATGGCATTTGGTCATTTCTGGGAGAAAGGTCTCTGATCTGGGAGCCTGGAAGGAGGAAAGTGGAAATGTTTTAAACACAGTACAGTGCTTGCAAAAGCCACATGAAAACATTCTTTGTAGCTTTACCCTTTTCAAAGATGGACAGCTTCCTTATTTTACAAAGTTCTTCAGAAGCATGTTTTTTAGAGAACTGTTAACAATATTTGTTGACTGATATAAGACATAAAAATTAATGTGGATGGGTTACAAAGAGCTTTTTAAAGTGGTGATTTATTTAAATTTAAACTTGATGGATAGTGTTTGAAACTGGAAAAAAAATCTTTTGGGGACTAGAAGATGCTTGGTTATTTAATGCAAAGAAACTATATCAAAGGAACATTTATAGTTACAGGCTATTTGGCTTTGGCTATTGAATTTTTCCCACTGAGATATTTTGTCTAACATCCAAAAATTTGCTTTAATTACCTAGGAAATGCAGTCAACTCAGAACTTAGAATCTAAACATAGCATAAGATAAAGACAGAGGGAAGAGATGAGATGCAGCCTAACTCCCCCCCTCAATGCATATGAAAAGAACAGCTTTAGGGCTTTTTTTGACTTGCCTGATTTTCAGCACATTTGCATACATCTGTGTAGAATTGAACACGATGAGCCTCTCTTAAAAATTTTCTTCCATTCTCTAAATTAATAAGTTAAACAGTAGCACATTCAAGCTAGTCCAGCAACCCATAGTTTTCTGCTCCTCTTAGTGTAATTGGCTTCTGCAACATGAGGCAATATTCTCTAAGCGTTAGGTGTGCCCTGCACATACTATCTGCTTTAAATTTTATTGGATGATTCTTTTCCAGCCTTACAATATTTTATGATGTTATAGTGCCTCAGTATTGCAATGTTTTTATTCATTGTATGATAACAATGTTTTTGTTTCATCTAAAAATATCCCAGAACTTTACTAAACTATTTTCAGCCCTGCAATACTGAGCCAAAATAAATCATCTTTGAGGTGTTAGCTCATAACTATGTACAGCAGCATCTCACAGCAGTGCCTACCAGTCAGCAGAGATATTTGTACTTGCTTCTTGCGGCAGGACAGTTGATGGATGCAGCAGATAACTCTGCAAACTAGAATGTCTTTGGGACAGCGTCAAAGAAGCATGTGATGCCTGAACATGTCCCCCAATGTCCAGTAACTCCAGTTTGGACAAAGTCCAGATTATGGTCCCTGAAACCTCCATAGACTGTTGCAGGGCAAGGGTCTGTATTAAAAGAAAAAAAAAGCAAAACTCAGTTTTTCTATGTTAACATTTTTATTTCAGAAAAGCAATCTATTTGTTTTTGTTGGTATCATCACTTGTTCTTTATATCAAAGATTTGATAATGTGACATCCTCTGAAGCTGCTCCTCAGAGTGAGCTTTTAAGGTTTGTGGTGCTTACAGCTGCCATTCAAGTGGGTGACAGCGGAAGACATTCAGTATGTTTGAAGATGGCCAAATGTTTGGGGAGGGATCACTCAAAATATCATTTACTTTATCTGCACTAAGTGGTGTCCAGAGCTCTTGCGTACAATAAAACTATTCAATAATAAAGAAGGGACTGTATTACCTGTAGTCATAGTAGGGAATGATGAGATCATTATTCCAAATAGAATTTATGAATAGAACTATAATGGAAATTGTTTTAATTTTTATTCTGTTCTTGGCCATGATTACAAAAGGGACAAAAGCTATGCTAATTTCTCTGGGTATCCTTATGTTTATGCCAACCAAGGTAATTGACAGTTGATAAAGATGGGAAGTTGGAATTAGTCGATATTAGTACCATCTTGCAATGTGGCTGATTCAGCCAAATGCTTGTTTATCTTGCTTATTTTCTATAACATGCTCATAAAAATTTAAGAAGCTGGGAGGCATACAGATTTATTTTTTTATTTTTTCATAATGCAATTTGTCTGGGTTGCAGCTGTCCTTTCCCAAGCAGAGAGACTTTCAAACATTGTTCACTTAGTTTGTGCTTTGTATTAAACGCATATGTCTTTTCCTAACCCAGTATCTTGAACAGCATAAGAGCTACAGATGAAATGGCCTACCCAGATGATCCTACATATCATCTTTCTTGCCAGTTCAAAACTTTTTTAGACTATTCTTTTTAGCTCACTGTTTGGTTTGTCTCTTTAAATGTCTCACATTAGCATGTTTTCCACTTATTTTGACAGCAGACGGTTTTACCACTGACTAGATCTTGCTGATAAGCAAAATTCTTTTTTCCAAGAATTCTTCCTAGAAACTAAATTTTCCCTTTTTAAATTTTGCTCCATTTTTCCACTTTAATTTTCTAAACAAAATAATATTCCATACCTATATGCTCCTATCTGGGTGTATGTTAATATATTTCTAGTCCATGAAGGTATTGCTTGAACATGCTGTACTTGCTGCTTTTGACTGCCAGCCATGAATATCTTAACAGAAATAATGTAAGCAGCACACCTTCAGATATATTGATCATTTACTTGTAGCCACAACTTCTGTTGTAGAATATTCTGCAGTTTAATGCTTGTATATTTTCTTGTGTTCTGTAAATTACCGCATCACACAGACTTGTTTCTGAATGATTACTGTTTGTATTTGGTTATGGCTAATGTAATCAAACATCTCCTCTTGGAGAAAAGAAAGCCTAGGACAGACCACATTCTTGTTTATGTCTTTACCACTTTACCAAAGATAGTGAAGCTGTGATTTCAGTGACATGAGGCCAGTTAATGAAAGCAGGTTTGACCTTATGAACTTGAAGTATGCACTGTAGATTTGAAATCAGTTGTCCCTTTGATTCTTCAAACTGACTTTGGAGTTTATCAATGTTAAAATTAATTATTTATAATGGGATTTTCAGAGCTACTGAAAAGGCTTTTGTTTTGTGTTAGTAATTTTCAATGCTATTTTCTAAACAGCTTTTCAGCTCATCCATAATAAAACCATTGGCTGAAATTTTACAACTGAGAAGTACTATTTATGTTTGCTTACATGGAGTCTGATTAGCTTATTTATAATTAAAGAGAATTACTTTGCTTATAATTGTCACTGTCATCCCTTCTCCCCCTGACTTTTCTTGTTTTCTAAACCCAGATTTAGGTCGTTCTCGGGAGCTGCAATATGTTTATGTGGATAACAATATTCATCTGAAAGGCCTCCCATCTTATTTGTATAATAAAGTCATTGGTTGCAGTGGGTAGGTATGAATTAATTCAAATGTCTTGCATACCTGTTTTTTGTAAAATTTCTCATAAATATCTTCCTGTATGATATATCTGATTTTTGTGTGTGTGATTGATTCAGAACTGATGTTACTTTGAGGATATTACTGCAGCTCCCAGTTCTGTTTTATTTTTGTAATAAATCTGTGTTAATTGCTGACTTTCAATGTTTTAGTATTAAGCTGTGACAGACAGTGCAGTTATTCTGAAGGAATTTGTAATGAATGATAACATAAGGCCTAAAGCTGAATCCTAGCTGCATTTAAAGATTGGCCAAAAATGTAGGCTTCACAGAATTTCCAGCGCTAAAGAATGAACAAAATATTTTTTAATGTGTTGCAGCATCTATCTAGTTCATAAGTTCTCACATTTCTGTAAGTTGTGGGCCATAACATATATCTTGGAATGTCACATGCAGCTCCTTCATTCATTTTACATCCCAGTATGAGCTTCTTCTGGGTCTTGGTACCTACTAACTAAAATAAGTAACTTTTTTTAGCAATTATGGATTGACAGGTATATTTTTATGTGTGGATTTTCAAAATATCCTAGGCTGTGTCATGTTTGTGGTTAGGATGTGAGAAAAAAGTAGTCTGTCTAGGACACTAGCTTAATTCTTTCTGCACTGACACTAGCATAAATTAGGATCAGCACCACTGATGAACGGAGCCTTACTGGTGTAACACTGATCAGAAGGGGATTGTTCCCATTACCATCTAATTATAAATTTCTGGTATGCTCACTCTCTGCAAATCTTGCATTAAATATAAATTCCCTCTCTACAGCCTGTGCTTTACTGCAATATGTGAGATGCTGAGTCTTGGCATTTTAAGGTTTTTTCTAATATTCCCGTGTCAGCTGGTTGTATGATATTTAAATACTTGGAATTGGATTATAATTCTGCTGAACTGTATGCAGTGTCAAGCTTCTACTAATTTTGTTTTTCAAGAAAAACAATTTCTAGCCTTTGTTCTTTCAGAACTGATTGTAAAATGTAACACAGACATTAAATTGACCCTAAAGGTAATTGAACTGTATTGATTGTGACCAAAACCACTAGTGACAATGCAGGAAGTGTTCCAACAAGTTTGGTCCAACTGTCCTGCCTATTTCAGGTCATTTTAAACAACCATGACTTTATTTTTTTTAATGTTTTAAGTCCTTATTTTATACTCAGTCAAAATAATTTTATCTTTGCACTGACCTTTTGTAAAGACATTGCCAGTTCTTTTTGCTGTCATTACATGTACACTGCTGGTGAGCCAAGCTGCTAGTATCTCTGATGGAGAGTAGTTGTGGTGGGTTGACCCTGGCTGGATGCCAGGTGCCCACCAAAGCTGTTCTATCACTCCCCCTCCTCAGCTGGACAGGGGAGAGAAAATATAACAAAGAGCTTGTGGGTCGAGATAAGGACAGGAGAGATCACTCACCAATTACCATCATGGGCAAAACAGACTCAGCTTGGGGAAAATTAACTCAGTTTATTACAAATCAACCAGAGTAGGGTAATGAGAAATAAAACCAAATCTCAGAACACCTTCCCTCCACCCCTTCCTTCTTCCCAGGCACAACTTCACTCCCAGATTCCCTACCAAGCCCCCCCCAAGCCCCCCCCAGCGGCACAGGGGGACGGGGATGGGATTTACGGTCAGTTCATCACACGTTATTTTCTGCCGCTTCATCCTCCTCAGGGGGAGGATTCATCACACTCTTCCCCTGCTCCAGCGTGGGGTCCCTCCCACGGGAGACAGTCCTCCATGAACTGCTCCAGCGTGGGTCCTTCCCACAGGCTGCAGTTCCTCACGAACTGCTCCAGCATGGGTCCTTTCCACGGCGTGCAGTCCTTCAGGAGCACACTGCTCCAGCGCGGGTCCCCCATGGGGTCACAACTCCTGCCAGAAAACCTGCTCCAGTGTGGGCTCCTCTCTCCACAGATCCGCAGGTCCTGCCAGGAGCCTGCTCCAGTGCGGGGTTCCCACGGGGTCACAGCCTCCTTCGGGAACCCACCTGCTCCGGCGTGGGGTCCTGCCCGGGCTGCAGGTGGAGATCTGCTCCCCCGTGGACCTCCATGGACTGCAGGGGGACAGCCTGCCTCACCAGGGTCTTCACCACGGGCTGCAGGGGAATCTCCGCTCCGGCGCCTGGAGCATCGCCTCCCCCTCCTTCTTCACTGACCTTGGGGTCTGCAGGGCTCTTTCTCTTACATTTTTTACCCCCTCCCCCCGCCTGCCATTTCCGTCTGTCCCAACTTTCTTCCTTCCTAAAAATGTTACCACAGAGGCGTTACCGCTATCGCTGATTGGCTCGGCCTTGGCTGGCGGCGGGTCCATCTTAGAGCCGGCTGGTATTGGCTCTGTTGGACACGGGAAGCTTCCAGCAGCTTCTTACAGAAGCCACCCCTGTAACCCCCCCCCCCCACTACCAAAACCTTGCCACACAAAGCCAATACAGTAGTATAAAACTAGTATAGAAGAGACCAAAAAATTTGCAAGTGTTGGAATGAAATTAATTCTTGTAATGCTTCTGTGGAATTAAAAAAATGATAATTTTTTTCCCCTTAATATTAAAGAATGAAAAGAAATTATTTTTAGTAAGCAAAATAATATTTGTACTTGTGTACCAAACAGATACTTGTCTTTATGTTGTGAAGCCATCTTGAAATGTCATAGATTATTTTTAAGGAAAATTTTCAAAATAGGAAGAGTAGTTATATATATATATATATTATTACGAAATCAAAGGTTTTATTTGATAATGTGCTGAGTGACGTTAAAATCATGCAATAATGGTCATGTGAAGAATTTCTGTGTTCTTTCCAAGAAAGCATTAGTAACCAATGCAAGGTTTTTATGGGTCAGGTGAGAGTTGAAGATCCAGGCTTTAGTGCTCTGTCTGGTCATCCACTGGAGAATAAAACCTGATATGCTGCTGTTACTAACATAAAGCTAGATTTCTGAAAATAGAATATAAATTGCATTGTGTAAGTAATGCATCTCTGTCTGGGAATCCTGTAGTCAGAGTGACTGAAAAAGTCTTTTATGTAAGAGGTGATGATCTCAGCACTCAAAATAAATTTTGATCTTATTTTTTTGCAGATTGGATTTCATAGTCTCCAGCTAGGTATCTGTCAGTCTTGTTAAAGGCAGCCAATAGGTGGTTACAGCCTTTTTTCCCCAGTTAGTTATTCACCAGTGCTCTTCTGCAGCTCCATTTTTGCCAGCTAGTTAGACCATCGTCTATTCCACTTTTTAACCTCTATGGATTTTGTGTGGGGTTTTTTCAATTCTTTGTTCCTGCACCCAGTATTACTCATAGGTTGAGATTCGTTCCCTAATCCATCCTGATTTAAGGGTATATATCTCTTATTCCTCTTGATGGTCTGTTTTCCTTGTTTACTTTAGTTTTCAGTGTTGTGGTCTGGCATTAATAGCCTCACTCTTTACATAAAGTAGATCAAATGGCCCAGCTCTGAACTGCAGAAAATGTAGTGAGTTTACGGGTGTGTCTTCTGGCTAGGTTAAGGGGTTAATCAGCTTGAAAATACAACATTCTAGATTTATTTGTTGTGATAGCTAACTCATTGGATATGGATTGCTGGGGAATGGATTGTTGGAATATTGGATCTCTGAATTCCCAATTATATTTTAACCTCATTAATGGTTTGTGGGAAAGCATTAAATATTTAACAAGAGGCTTATTGACTTGCTGTTTGATGCTGCTCTTTTTTGCTTGTTTCTCTGGGCTGTTTTTCCTTTAATCAGAAGAGATGAGATTCTTTGTTATCAGAGAAGTACTGTAAGATTTCTTTCATGACTGATAAGGTCGAGTGTAGTTACCTCACTTTTAGGTCCAATATCTGGGATGGCTGACAAATTTGTGTTTCTGTTCCATTTGTTAGGACTGGCCCTAACAAGTTGCTCTTGGCTTCAAATTTAAGCTGTCATAAACAATTCCAATTCCCCTGTTGACTTCTCCAACCTCTTAGTAGAATTTTCCTATGCGTGTCTCTTTGGTATGATAGTTTGCAACAGGGATCATGTAAAGAGTTGTTATTTTTACTACAAGCTGAGTTTCTCTCCTTGGATCCAAGTAACCTTCCTTTTCCTTAGATGATTTGGGAAGGGCAAGGCTAGTAGACATACTAGTGTATCTTCCCACTACAGCTTAGGATGTTCTTTTTATTTTTCCTTCACCTCCCCCCCCCCCCCCCCCAAGGGAACTCTGTGGGTGGGGAAAGGTATAGTACAGAATCACACAGTGGCACTTAAATGATATTTTTTGGTGGTTGTAGTTTGCCTCACATATCGTAGCTGAGAAATCCCATTACCATTCTGAACTGGTCAATCCAAGACACAGGAAGCCAACTGTTAGGTCTATGAAACTGCTTCCCTGTATAAAATATTCAGTAATAATGGCATTCAGAGCCTAAAAGAGATTAGCGCGTTGGTACAGTAAGGGACACGTTGTGCACTTGGTTCACCTCCTTGGGATTGTGTTCTCATTTCTCCAGCTTTTGAATGTTATTTGATAAGTAAAGACCTCTAGATGTGCCATGACTAGCACATCACAGAAGGTGGTAATCTATAGAAAATGTGTGCCAACATAGAATTGTAGAATAGTTTGGGTTGGAAGGGACCTCTAAAGGTCATCTAGTCCAGCCCCAACATGTAGTGCACTCTGCAAGAAGTCCTTGAAAGGTGCTGCGCTGAACAACAGTATCAGGCATACTTTGGGTTGGTCATCTGGGTTTTCCCATAAAGTTACTTTTATTATTATTTTTTTTCTAACCACTTCCTAAATGTCTTGTGTCCTCCTAGTTGTGGTTCTCCAATTCAAGTTTCAGAGGTGAAACTGCTCTCTTTTTCATCGGGCCAGTTAACTGTGTTCCTGCCAGCAGAGGTGAAATCTATAGGGACAGAAACAGATCATGTGCTACCTTTGCAAGAACTGGCCATGAGGACCCTCTATAACACCTACTACAGGTTTTTAAAAGGTATGAAATTTCTGCATTCTTCAGATTACAGAAAGAGTGGAAGTCCTTTTCTGGCAATGATAGGAACATTTCAAATAGGTCTTCAAAGGGCTGGGCAAGGATTGATATTTTAAAAGATTTATTTAATCAAATTATGTTTGAAATGCTGTATTAGAACAAATATAAAAAATATCAAGAAACAGAGATCCGAAGACTATTTCTAAGGTCGAGTGGTACTTACAAATGGTTTCTTTCTTGAGGACTATATAAAGAAGGACACTTTTTGCAGGAGAAACTCTTTAATGGAAATAGGAGATGAGAAATGCAGTTCCTGAGGCAAGATTAGATGCATCAGCCAGCAATGCAACTTCTTGCCAGGCAGCACACTCCTAAACTGGCAGTCTTGTTATACATAAGGCAAAAGAAATGCTAGCAGCCCTTGGCCATTTCAGTACAGTGTGACAGCTGAGCTGTTTTAGTTCTGCCCCAATTCAGGCTCTTTGCTGTGAAGTGGCCCTTGGCTCATCTGGTTATACATCATGCAATCACATGAGTTAGCAATATCTGATGATAACCTGCAGATTCAGATTTAGATGTATTGTGACTCCCTCCTAGTCAGGGCATCTTGGGAATTCGTCAGCTTTAGAGGTGAAAGTAGAAAGCAGAAGGGTAGAGAGATACAATGGAAAGGTTAGGGGATTTACGATAAGGGGTCACTAGTACCATGGCCACTGGAGTAAATCATAACTGCTGAACTATTGCTTTGCCAGGAAAAGTGTACAAGGAGATCTGCAGCAAATACGCTGTAAAGAAGCTTCATGTTGAGGGGTGGGATAACCATACAAGCCTATGTTCACAGGAAACAGCACTGCTTTATGGAGAATGTATTTACTGATATAAAGAACATATTAATTGACCCATTTGCGGGTGTGTATTTTTTATATTTCTGCATATGGTGGGGAGAGGGGAGGTTTTTAGTTTAGTATCAGGTTATCAGCTACACCAAAATTGCACAATGACGAATGATATTTCATTTTGATTTGCAAAATTCTAGTCTTTGAAAGGACTTTGAGAACATCAGGTACAAGATCTTTTAAATAACGAGTAACTACTTTTCTCACTGGGTTGTGACTTGCACAATAATTTCTGGAATATGACTCTGAATATGGTTCCTGAAGATGCTGGTGAAATTTGGTTGGGGAATAGCAAGATAGCATTGCAAAATCAGTTTAAGACATGGTTCATAGATGGTTTATACAAGGCTGTGAGGATTATATCTAGTTGCAGCCAAGGTGCAGAACCTGAAAAAGATGGTGAAACTTTTTTTTTAACTATCTTGTCTACTTCTAGTTTGTTACACTGTACTATGTAGTCTTTTTATATATTTATATATACATAAACACACACACATAAATATCTTATTTAGAGTGACCTTATTAAAGACTACGTGCATTACCACTGGCAACACCCACATTTCAGTGAGGCAGGAGTAATGCATAGTTCAGACAGGTGTAAGATAATGGTGTGCTGAGGAAGCAGGTGGCACATAAGATTAAAGTAACAGATTTGATCGTTCACTGCCTTAAATTTGCAGTTCCAAGGGTGCTGTTAAATAGTTGGAGGCTGCTAGGTAAGTATGACAGAAGTGACTGGACTACTTTTCCTCCATCTTTGCTTGGCTACAGAATGTGACCTTTTCTTTCTGACGCAAGTGTACTATTCATCATGCTTGTCATCTCAATTGAGGCTGTTCTGGTGCATTGTGTATGGGGTTAAACCTTACAGTGTTTGAAAGCTGGAACTAGTGTGATATCGCGAAACTGATTTATCAAGTACTGTGTCTTGTCTTGATTACTCAGCACCTAAACTCATTCACCTGACCTGGCCATCTCTCAGTTTCTAGATGGAGATTAGGATGTTGGTTTTAATTTATAAAGCACTACATGGCTTGGGCCAAGCCTGAGAAGATGATTGCTCTTTCCCATGAAATGACCCTGGAGTCCCATTTGGTGAAAATGATGGCATCTTGTAAACTGTGGGGGCACACTTAAGAGATTATGAATGTATTGATCTTTTTAGAGGGGTCTTTTTGGTTGGACCTGTGAGAATTATGCTGGGCTGGATTGTATTTCAAGTAATTCTAAATATTTCAGATCCCTTTTTGCTGATGGTGGAGTTTGGGCTTTTTAGTGAGCTTAGCTATTCTGCTGGATTGGTTGCTGAAATATTTTAATAAAACACTGTTGATGTCCTTTTTCAGAATTTTATATTGTTACGAATTACTAAACATCTGTCTAGATCATCTTTGTGTCTAAAAATGCTTTGTGATGTATTACTGTTTTTTATTATTTGCTTGAGCTATAATATTTTCACCTGGGTATTTAGGCCCATTTAATCTTACGCCCACAGATGTTAAATTTATACATTTAACTTTTTGAGCTTATACATGGAAAGCACCATGCGCTTCACCCTAATTGTGGTTCTCTTGACAAAGTCTTAAGAATGTAAGACAGCTGATTTTCTGAATTGTTCATGGATCATGCTTGTTGTGTTTGACTTTATCATGCAATTGTTTTGTTACAAGCCTTTTTTGTTTCTTTTCTCTAGATTTGAACTTTCTGACTCCAATCTCCCTACCCAAAAGCCTCTTGGAATTGCTGCACTGTCCCTTGGGACACTGCCACCGCTGCAGCCAGCCTATGTTTACCATTGTCTACCCAAAGCTCTTTCCCTTGAGGGAAACTCCAATGGCAGGATTGCATCAAGGGTAATTATACAGGAAATTACACTGGGGTTTCATTTAGGAAGAAAAACACCTTATGGAACAAAGCATATTCTTAAGGATTTATTTTTTTATTAACTTAGAAGCCTTTCAGATTTAAAGCCCCTCTCCTATGATTGCATATAAAAGTTGGCAAATCTTATAAATATAAGACAACCAGTATACTGCTGTGTTGTGGTTTAACCCCAGCCAGCAACTAAGCACCACACAGCTGCTCACTCACTTCTGCCACGGCAGGGTAGGGGAGAGAATCAGAAGAGTAGAAGTGAGAACTTCTGGGTTGAGATAAAGACAATTTCATAGGTAAAGCGAAAGCTGTGTGTGCAAGCGAAGCAAAACAAGGAATTCATTCACCACTTCCCATCAGCAGGCAAGTGTTCAGCCATCTCAAGGAAAGCAGGGCTCCATCATGCGTAACGGTTAGTTGGGAAGACAAACACCATCACTCTGAACATCCTCCCCTTTCTTCCCCCGGCTTTATATGCTGAGCATAATGTCGTATGGTATGGGATATCCCTTGGGTCAGTTGGGGTCAGCTGTCCCAGCTCTGTCTCCTTCCAACTTCTTGTGCACCCCCAGCCTCCTCACTGGTGGGGTGGTGTGAGAAGCAGAAAAGGCCTTGGCTCTGTGTAAGCACTGCTCTGTGTATGCAGTAACTAAAACATCCCTGTGTTATCAACACTGTTTTCAGCACAGATCCAGAACATAACCCCATACTAGCTACTATGAAGAAAAGTAACTCTATCCCAGCTAAAACCAGCACATGCTGGTTAGACTGTTTAACAAGGGCTATTACACTTGCCTCTTTCAGACTGCTGTAAGATAGTGAAGTGTTTTGATGTGATAGGATTGACTTGTTTGTGGTAGTGTAGCACATGCATGGCACTTCTGTGCCTTAGGAAGGAAATACTGCCTAACACCAATACTTCCCCTGATGGTCTCAATCCCAACTTGAGGAGAATGCTGCCACCAAATAAAAGTGCTGTAGGATTAAAGGCAGAAAAAAAAAATCTTTAAAGCCAGAGCTTAATCCAAATGTTCTGTAGTAAAATACTCTTGTTATTCATTCCACACTAATTAACTTGAGATATGCTGTGGAAACACTCTGCTTTGTAACATACATTTCATAGCAATACATCTTTTTAAAAATATTTCAGTTTTGATGGTTGTAGCAGTTGTGACTGTGTCTGCAGGACTCGCAAGTCAAGTAGACAAGCCTACACAGACTTCCTGACTTGCTGGACAGTACAGTCATAGAAGGGACTTAAAAACTGGGATACAGTTCAGGGAATAGTGCCATCATGTAGATGAAGATTCATAATACCTTTAAGGTGAGCACTGATAGTTTTGCAGTGACTCTCCCTAGCCTATTAGTCTGAGCTCATACTGTTACCCATCGTGAGCCATAATATCAACAAATCCACTTTCTGCAATGGAAAACTTATCATCAGAAGAATTTCAACTGGTTCTGCATGGACAAAACTACAGTACCGTTTGAAATCTAATAAAGGAGGTTTAAAGAAAAGTCACTTGAAGTTAAGCAAATGTGATGCTCAGGTTCTTTTTAGAGAATTCATGTCAAGCTGTTAGTTACAAAGCATCTGCTTAAAGGTGAGGAGCAGAAAAGAGAGGTGCTTTAAAAAGGAATGTTTCTGAAATTACTTGTTGATATGTATAATGCACAAGAATGCCACTTAGTTCTTGTCCTGCTGAAATCCATTGATTTGATAGTTATCTTCCGTAAAAATAAGACACTGCTTTTCAACAGGAAGATCTTTAAGAAGAGACTAATTGATGATTCAGGTTGATGGTACCTATTTTCCACAGCTGTATCACAGGGTTTTTTTGCTGTGAGTTTGTGGCATAAGAGGTATCTGATTTGTAAGCAATTCAACTTTATGAAATGAAAACAACTTAGGTATGCCAAATCTGGACAGCAGCCAGAAGGCTGCATAAATACTATTTTGGAAAAGTCATCTTTCTTAGAAAGATCTGAATGTAGATATTGCATACTTCAACTTGCTATTCTGTTACACTTCAGTCGTATGCTGAAATTAAATGGATTTCATGTTGAGTAAAATAAGTTGCTTCCACATTATAGTCATTATGTTCAGAGTGGCATAAGATGTTATAGTCATGCTATAAAGTATTTCTTCCAAGCATTGAGCTCCATTAGAATAGTATAATTTTCTTAGAAAGTGATGGAAAACTACTTGCTGGTCACTAAATCTTTATATTATTGGTAATAATCCAACGATGGGAAAGTTTGGACTGGAGAAGAGAGCTCTGCTTTCTAATGAACTGCTAAGCATTGTTCATTGTAGAACTTACATGAGATGATAGACGTATAAGTAGACACCTTAATGAATTTTTAAAGTTACAACTCAACAAAAACATACTTTAAGGCTATTTTGGAAGAACAGTATATTAACGTTGTAAAATATATTCATTGAAAATATTTATTTCTGCATGGTTTTCACTTGTTTAAGAAAATGGTTATCATTCCTTCCCTTAGACAAGAATGTACTGTGTTCTGCAAAATGTCGTAATGAATACAGTCTTAAGTAGCTGACATTTGATGCAAATCCACAGAAAATGAGATCTAAACAGGGCAGCCTGTCATCCTTATCTCTGTAGTTTGTGCACTTGACATGGTAAGATTATGTGGAATTGTAGAGGTGTGATAGCTGGTTTAGAAAGATGTGAAGGGCAGGGTTTCTGTTCTAAATTGCTTACAGTGACCATGAAAACACACAGGGTAGGGATCCTGAATGTTTGAACAGCACTGATTAACACATGCCACATCTATGCCAGTAACTTGTGTCTGCATTTCCGTATCACATTCTGTATCCTCTTATAGGAGAGCATAGTTATGTGTTGAACTGGATTTCTCTATCTGAAAAAGCACAGATGACATGAGCACTGGGTAAAGTGTGATTTCTGGATTAGTAAAAAACAGATCTTCACATTTTTAAAGCAGATATCTAGGTTCCTGCCAGGATGGGGCTAAGAGGAGGGTCACAGTGAGCACAGTGAGGCTAGAATCACGCTTCCATGTTGTCACCCCTGCTGTAGTACCTGGCACAATGCAATAGCACTGCCTGTCGATCGATCATCCTTTCTGAAGGTCTGGGCCCAGTTTGTTCACTTGGCTGAGCCGAAGGAGGACACTGGATTTCAGTTATTTCATGCCTACAAGCACCAATTTAAGAAACACATGAGCAAAGCTGAAGCAAAGAATTACCCAGCTATTTTCCTTTTAGCTGTTAAACCTACTGACTGTAATACTCAGCCACACCCTCCACAGAAAGAAAAACCACATGCTGCTGCTTTAAGCTGAATACATAAGAAACCAGGAAGTTTTTTGAGAACCCCTGCAGTGTTTCCCTGCCTTTGTATCAGGCACTCATATAGAGCAAATGAACCTTCTTTTTCTCCAAGTGTCAAGATTGGCTAATCCTATATTTTACAAACCAGCATGTTGTCTGCTGTGGGATGGGGCCAGGAGCTTTAATCTTAACTGACAACTATTCCCCCCCCCTTTTTTTTTTCCTAGGAGGACAACTGTTAGTTTTGTGGCATACTGCTGCTCCACCCAGTGTCTGCAGACTTTTGACCTACTGAGTTGATAAACATTTAAAACTACTCAGGAGTGCTGCCAGTTTAAAGCTGCATTAGACGTCGTATCCCATTGGTACTGGAATACTCTGTGTGTGCGCGTGTGCCAAAGCAGCAGAAGTGCCCAGTTGGAAACGCTAAGAGGCACTTAAATCCTGCCCTATCAAATTTGGATGAACTGCAGAAACTTTTCGGAAGTGTAAATACCAAGCTTTTAAAAGTATTAACTTCTCTCTCCTCCAAGATAGCATACAAACCAAACAAATTCACAAGCTCTAACTTGAGGATTTCCAGTATTTTTCAAATGTGGCTGTCTTCAGGTTAACCCGTTGTATTATTTGAGGCAGTTTTCATTCCCCTGACAGGGGGAGAAAAAAATTTTCAGTTGTGACAAATGAATTTTCACTGACACCTCTCCCTCCCCCCATCCTCTTTACCCCTGCAGCTGGATTAAGGTGTATAAATCTAAGCCTACAGAAACCATTGATGGATCCCAGTGACTTCCCCATAGAATTTAGCTTTATTTTCTTCCTCTCATCTCAATATTTCCCTCCCAGTTGTATACCAAGTCTTTGACAGTTAACTGTGGGATTTAAATCCACGTATTAAAAGCCGATCTTCCTTTCTGGTATCATTAGAAGCCACACTTGATTTAATTGGAGTAACTAGGATATGTCTGGAGACTAAAGATCCTGTTTCAGTAAAGAAGGCTGGTACTGATGCCTACACGAAGTGGTCTTGCTCCAGCATGTTTGCAGGTGTGTTTTCTTTATTTTCATCTTTCAAGTTTTTTATTTTTAAAAACACTTCCCCTTTTGCTTCTTTGAGTTCTTCAGGAAGAAGACAACTTCAACTATCAATTTCACTTGAAAAAAACTAGTAATATGATAGTAAATATTTATCTATATTTATTATATTTTTACAATTGCAGACTGTAGATCTGCAAAGAGTTGGTCTTAATCTTTTTCTAGATGCAGCATTTGGCTGATTTGTGAAAGTGTGTCAGTGGAGTGTGTGCCTCGAACAAGGCTGGAAATCCAGGGGGAGGTATGTGTATCTCCATGCATAGGTATATATGCATACATAGATATCTTCACAGAAGGGCTGTAACATTTGTTTTCGTATATTAATGGTAGATTTAGCGCAAATTTCCACTCACTATCATATTTGTGGGAATCATTTTTTGTTAGATCTTGTTCATTTTAAATAAAGGACAAAGGATGGAAAAAAGACCCAAAATGCCTGCATGACTTAAAATTTTAATTTTACACTGAAACAGTTTATACAAAATTAGCCCCTCTTGACTTGTTTTGGAATATATATATTTTTTAATATAATGTGTTCTTTCTTTTTTTTACTTTCTATTTCTTAGGTATAAACTACTTGTTGATTTAGCACAGTGTACTACTCTGTGCAGTAGGTAGTCACAAGCTGAAATAGATATGAATGAAACAGTTTGTTATAAAAATGGCAAGATAAAGAGACTTATTTGGTAGTATATTAGCATATGTTGTGGTGAGGTATGCATACTTCGAAGGGAGGAGGCAGTTTTCCTTTTGCCAAAGAAGCATTTGTTCCTGCTGCAGGCTTCCTGGCATCTCTTCAATAAATAGAGTATCATAAGAGCTTAAAAGAGTACCGAAAAGGCAGTTTTGAGGGTGGAATTTTTAGGTTGTGCATGTTACTTGTAAAAGTGTTGCTGGTTTTATTGGGTTGGTTTTAGAGAGTTGAATTAACATTAAGAAATGTAGAACTTAATCCTCCAGGAATGCAAGTATCATCTACTGTTTAAGAATTGTGAAACTTTCTAAAATAAATCCCATTTATTAAATGTGCTTTGCAGTAGGGGAAAGAGCCATGTCCAAGCAAACTTTGTACTATTGGATTTCTGACTCTCTCATTTCACTAATTTGTTTCAATGTTGGTATCCCCAACAGGCGTTCCCACCCAGTGGGGTTTACCACTGAAGCAGCAAAATTAATCTTAAGCTTTTTTCTTTTCTTTCAGTACTACATAGTTGAGATGTAAATTGCCCATTTATTATACCTAATCCAAAATGTGCAAGTGTAGTACAGAATCCATTTTTTTAATGGATGATAAGAGAACTATGGTAGTGTTACAAATATTAATTTTTCATACAATACTCTGATCAGGAATTTTCAGTATTACTTTTACTGTGGTTTCCTCTGTCTTTGAAGGAGATGTTTTGTTGGAAGTTTATTTGTCCTCTTTTCATAGCAACCTACAGACTTTTAAAACACAGTTTATTTCTGAATTCAGTCTGTAAATATTATTTTGGAGTTAAATCTTATGATCAGTTAAAAGGCGGTGGTGTTTTTACTAGGAGTCAGACACTAAGAGTGGAGCTTGGTTTTTTTTTTTAATTATTTTTTACTTTCTTCTTCCCATAATTAATTGGTTTTTATTGAGCTTATATCAGTCTGTTATTGTCTAGAAGTGCAGTTTAGAAGAAATTCTAGTCTGTTCCATAAGCAGGATGAATCTTAACTAACATTTTAATAGATGATATTTCAAGAATGGAATGTTCAATGAATAAATGACTTAAACACGTAATTGAAGCTGAAATGTCATACCCTATTTTTATAAAACAAGGAAGATGAAAGCCAATATATAGACTGAAAATGCAGCTTAAATTCATGTTTCTCTGATTTTTTTTGATACGAACAGTGTTTGTATTCATCTGTATCTTTGGGTGATATTGTTCTAGATTAAAATAACTCCATTCTCACTTGTCCAAATTTTTAAGCTGTTCTACTGTAAGAGAATTTCATAACCAGCTAACATGAGAGCCAGCTATGCAAGTTGCAGAGGGGAGAGGGAGCTTGTTGCTGATTGAACTGTGCATCACTTGTTTTTCAATATGAGGTGTCATAATACTTAGACTTCTCTTTAATGTCTTTATTTCTAGGTACTTTTTGATTACTTGCTCTTGTTTGTCAGGTTAGTTCACAATGAGATAAATTTTTCCTTGTACTGCAAAAAATCTGGTTCCAGCAGTTGGAAAAAATTACCATTTTTTAAGGGTTTTTTTGTCATAAAAGTAGATCTTAACTCTTTACTTAAGGTGGGAGCAGGAGAAGTTTTGGGGGGGGTGTTCTAGGCATTATAAAGAGAAAAGTGCAGGAGAGAAATGAGAGAAAAGAAGTCTTTAACCCATTTATATTGCTATAAATTTTTTCTGAGTAAAGATTAACTCCTAATGTGATTAGGGAGCACAGGCATAATTTTTGTTTATGTTGTGATAACAGGCACCATGTTAATAAAATTGGGACCCTACTGCTTATAGAGATAACTTTTTGTTCTGCCGTAAAGCAGATGGGAATCTCTGGCTTTGTTTAAAAATACTATTTGAGTGGTTTTACTATGGACACTGTTACATGTGGAGCACTGTTCTTGGGAACCTTCCTGTTACTCCCCTGAAGGATCAGAAATACAAATGTCCTTTCCTGTGCGAAGAACAAGGTCTAATATCAAGAAGTGCGTATTTTTCTGATTTGGCCTGATGCTTCTCTTGAGCTCTTACTGAAGTTCATTACAAACCTTCTATTTACTTCATTGCGGTGAGGTTAAGATCTTACACGGAGTGGAGCATAGCAGAGCTGTTCATTGCCAAGTTGGCTTCTGATTCTTATATATCGAATTCTGCTGAATCCCTTTTTCTGGCATGAAGGGAGGACGAGACTGTTCTAACACCCGTGTGGTAACAGCATGTCAGGTTTTACTGACATCACAGCCAAGTTGAAGACTGGAGAGTAACAAACCTTTCACTAGAGAGGATGACTTTTTTTTTTTTTTTCTGAAGGCCACTGCGGCCCCATCAGAGTACCACTGATAACAGAAGAACTTTTGCCTTGATGTCAGTGGAGACAGATCAAGTTTTAATTGATGAGAGAGAAGAATGTGTTTTACCGTCTTTGTACTTCTTGCGAAAACTGGGACAATGACACTGAAGTCCATGCCTGCTGCTAGGCAGCCTCTGTCTGCAGCTGAACTTAGTAATTCCGAGATGTAACTATCTTTGCCTCTTACCTCCCTCTTAATACTACTCACATTGTTGCAAAATGTTATAGTTGTGATGGAAGAGGCTGAGTAAATTGAATCCAGAGTTTTTATTACTTTTTGTATTACAGACATATTTTGTAAGAGACCAAAGGTCTGGTGGAAAGAAATGGCAAGGTTCATGTGACGTCTTCATTGCTTTTGCTTTTATGTGCCCTTCTTTGGATTACAACTTGAACTTGGATTGCAACTGAGTTCGTTCTATGTCTGTTGAAAGCATATGTGTATTGCTTTTTTGCTCTGTATTAACCAAATGTCACTTAGTGTGAAGGTGAGATTGCTAGATGTTTTATTTAAAGTTAGTGGTGCAATTTATGGTATGTGCTTGTTAATAAACTATATTTTTTGATAGAATTACAGTCCATTAAAGTTAACTAAATTTGTGCTCCTGGGCCTATTAAGCTATGTTAGGATGTAGCATTTAATTTACATTTCAGTTAATTTGCATAGTAATTAGCTAGTAAGTCTCTTGTCCCAAGGCTGAAGAGGTGGGGTGAAGACACTTCTTAAAACACTACGAAGCCCAAAACACCACTTCAGTTCACTTAATGCCTTTGTCTCAGACAATGTAGTTCACCAGATCTTGCATAATAGGAACAAAACCCATATGGAAATATTACTTTACACCCTTCTATGGATTGATCAAAAGAAAAATAACTTTGAATAGGGCTGTATTAAGTGCTACCCTGATAGTCCATAGATGTGGCTGTGGTTCATGTATTATTTACTAAGCAGCATTCAGCAGCTTTTTTCCCCTCATCGAACAGATACCATAGGAAGAAGGTTGCCAAAAAGAAGTAGAAATTAAGCATCTGTTTTTCCAGTTATTTCACTCCTTGCTGTGCAGCATTTTGCTTCAGTCAAAGCTGCTATCCTGTATCTATTCTGATGAGTTTGAGTGAGATGCTGTCTGAATTATTGCACATGTAATGGGTGAATACTAGCATATCCATTCTTAAATTACACCTGTGTTGGTCAAGGTGACTCTGAACATCAGTTATAATGGATGCCTTGAAGGGTTTACATACCATTCAGACTTCCCTGATGCTTGTTTGCTAGTAAGTTTACAATGACTTGCCTTTTTAATATTTTACAAATGACAACATAAATTTTCCTACCCTTGCAATGTAGGTAACCTCTGATGCAAGGTAGCAGGAGGAGGATGCAAGTCCCTAAAGTGAGATTGCGGGGGGGCGGGGTGGAGAACAACCCTTAACCTATAACTTTTACAGACTACTGCTGTGTCCCTTATGAATTAGAAAGAAACAAATGGGAGAGCTTAACATCC